GTCTTTACCAGGTGGAGGCAAGTCAAGGTTTCATTGCTGACTTCTATTCAAAGTGTGTTCAGGACACATCAGGTCACATCAGTGAAGATGCTCCAGACTCCAAACGCAGCATCTCGTCTGGATGTAAAGTCACTGCTGCAAACATGGAGGAGCAACATGAGACAGAAACAGTTCAGCATCTGGAAACCAGTTGGACTTCATTATGACTGAACTGGTTTGTTTTGATTCGCTGCTGCTCTTTAAACCACTCGGACCTGCTGAGTCATCATCTGGACGGTTTTGTTTAAACTACTGGGACCGATTCTGTTTCTGGAAGTTACAGTTTGACCTGAAATAAGAAAAAAACAAAACGTTTCAGGGTGTTAAAGACGTTTTAAAGCAGCTCCAGTGTTGGACTGGATAATAAAACACAATCAGGACATCTGGAATTTCACATGTTTTACTTTTTATTTGAGCATTTCTGCCATATTTTTGGAATATATAAAAATATCAGTAAAATGACACAAACAAACTGCTGACTAATGCGTCAGCAGAACCGACTCTTGCACAGACATGTAAGATTTATTTTCTATTTAATCCATGAAACTGTTCAAGTTTTCGATGTGACGACGTTCCTAAAATTAGATGCAACGAGTTTAATTTAATTGATACCAAAATGTCTTTTTCAAAGACTTTTTACCAAATTTTTTGAAATAAATAAAAATATCAATAACTTTATAAAAACAGATTAATTTACACGTCCTGTGTAAAATAACAAGGATTTCTTGTTACTGCAAATACCAGAAAATTTTTCAAAAGATTTTGACATAAAACTGTTGCTGCCAGCTGATCACACCTTCATAAATATTTATGTTTTATACTTTAAATATGGTTGTCAGATCACATGCAGTTAGCTTCTGCTTTAACTTCATTCATCCAGATTTATGGTCAAACTGGAACCTCCAACTCTAAGCATCCACCTTTTACATATTTATTCAGTTTTAGAATTATGTTTTCAACTTTCCTTCAGAGTCTTTTACTGGATTGATTGTTTATTTTGCACAGATTTTACTCAGAAGGATTTGTTTCTGTCCTGCATCGTAGCATAATGACGATAAAGCTTCAGATTCTGCTGAAACAACATCTACAGGATGGATGCTCACCTCCTCCCACTGGTGGATGTACCGGATCAGCCTGGACAGTCGCAGCAGCCGCAGCAGACTCAGGATCTTGGTGAATCGAACTATCCGCAGCGCCCTGGCCGTCCTGTAGACCTCCGAGTCCAGACTGTCCACCATGAGGAAGATGTAGTCGACCGGGATGGACGACACGAAGTCCACCAGGAACCAGGTCTTCAGGTACTTCTGGCGGATCGCCCTGAGGGAGACGGAGGACCGGTCACACTCCCGGTTTGGCAGCCGGGCTTCGGGGAACCGAGCCCAGCGTTGGTCTGGCGTGAAGCAGCCTCATAAATATTCAGCGGTGGGACAAAGCTCCGCCGCCGGCTGCATGTCACCGTCTCCGTGTTGGAGCACAAAGCCGGCAGATGCCCAGAAGAGCACATTTAAATCTGTGGCATCGGGCCGGCGGTTCTGTCTTATAAAGCCAGTAAACACACAAATGTTCCTGCTGGCAGCCGTTGTGCTGCTGCTGCTGTTTAAATGTGGCGTCCCTCAGGGCTCCGTCTTAGAGCCTCTTTTATTTTCCACACAGCTGCTCCTTACTTACATTTTTATTTTTATTTTTTAAACAACATCTCATCACGTTTAGGCTGAACGAAGGCAGTTTTTAAAAAGTTATTTAAAATCTTGAGGGCTCGTTCGGGGCGCTGTTGTGGAAAAGTTTCACAGAAGATTTTGAAACTGGCTCATTGTGTTTTTACATTTCTGATATCAGCTTTATTTTGAAGGATGCCTGATCTGCTCTGTTGATCTACAGCTCGTCAGCATGACTGGCTTAAAGTGGAAGGTCGTTGTGCTCCAGAAGGAACGTGTGATGGATGCATGTTTCAGCCGAGCGGGCCGGGAGTTGGTCTGAGAAAGATCCGACTGATCTTGGTTGACAAACAGCGATGGAAGATAACTGTTAGGGATGTACAGCTGCAGTGAAACGCCCAAGTACTGAATTAAGGTAAAACAAGAAGTTCGTTTTCAACCTAAAACCAACATCTGAGTTCATGAAGCCACTTGGGTTTGCCTCATCCTGCTTTGGTTCTAAGAACTCTCAGACTGTGGCCGACTCTTTGGTTCTGATGCAGCATGAATCCATTCATATGAATACTTGTAGTTTTATCGGTGGTTTGAGGTGTTGTGGGTTTTGCCTTTTCTTTAATGGAAGGGTTTGAATACATCTGAGGACGGCTGCAGCACATTTCCTGTCGTAGCTCGCAGGCTAGCGCGGCTAAGTGGACTTTAAATGTGGGTTTGATCTAAAAAGATTTTTGATGAAAAGTGACGAGGAGCTTTGGACAAAGACACAGAACTGAACGTTTTCCTGCTTTAGTGTTTCTATATCTGGAACAGCTACTGATGAACTCGTTGGTTCACATTAAACACGTGACAGAGTTCATCTGCTTTATTATCTGAGCTGCAGCAGAAACAGATGTGAAGACCTCAACATGCTTCGGTCCAGCCAGCTTCATACACGATGCCCTTTAATGAACGCTGCTGTGGTTCTTCTACGTTCTTACATAGTTCTATCTCCTTCATAGTTCTGCCGACACGTGCTACATGACGGCTCATATGATCTCTACCTGGGTTTATATTCAGGTTCTTCAGGTTCTTGTCGCCTCCTTCACGCTTTTATACGGACACTGCATGTTTTTCACTCTCTGATTCTCTCTGAACCTTCTGCAGATAAACTTCTACGACACGTGACCTTGTTGGGTTTTCGTCTCAACATCTAGACTCGTTGGGTAAATGTACAGAACCGGACCACTGACCGCGGGTCCAGCAGGATCTCGGTGCTGTCCTCCTTCATGATGCCGGTCCTGAAGTTGAGAACCAGGTCGACCATGAAGAGCGTGTCGGAGACCACGTTGAAGATGATCCAGGACGGCGTGTTCTCGTCCCTGAAGAAGGTGATGCCCACCGGCAGGATGATGAGGTTCCCCATCATCAGCAGCAGCATCAGCAGGTCCCAGTAGAACCTGGACAGAACACAGAACCTCAGAGCTCCAGCAGGGAAACGTTCCCACAACATCAGAGAACGTCACCGACCAGTTCTAGTGAGGTTCAAGGAAAACATTCTCATCAAAAGCTCAAAGAACCTTTAAAGAACGTTCTCATTTCCAGTAATGTTCCCGTAAAGTTAATATAACGTTTTAACGTCAACATTCATGTTCTACGATGACAAAGATTCTCAAACCAACGTTCAAAAGCTGTTTTCCAGGCGGATCGAGGCCTCGGATGATTTTTATAAAACGTTCCTGTGATTTACTGACGGAGGTGAAACGTTCTCCCTGCAGCGTTCTGGAGACGTTCTGAAGATGTTGTTGAGGGAACAAATTACAGGATGACACCAAGAGATGCTCTCAATGCAACATCTGGCAAACGTTTTCCAGATGTTATCGAGGCCCCAGATGACAGAACGTTGTTTATAAAACGTTCCTGTAATGAGGCACGTTAACAAGAAGGTAGAACGTTCCATGAAATGTTCTGAGGACGTTCTGAGGATGTTGTTGAGGGAACACGTGATGGAATCTATAAAGAAGAACGTTTCCTGATGAAGGAAGAACGTTCTCGGTGCTGCGTTCAGCTTTAGAGCTCAGTGATGTTCTTAACAAACATCATAGAACGTCTTCAGTTATTCTGTCCCTTAAGAAGAACGTTCTGGGAACTAATGGAAAAACACATATCTGAACATTTGCAGAACATATTCAGAACATTTAAATAAACCTGTATGTGGGAAACCTGAAGAGTCTGAACTTGCAGGCTGCCTTCATGCCATGTTCTTGTTCTAAGTTGTGTTTGTTTCTACAGCTGGTCTACCTCCAGACCCATCAGCTGGTCTACTTCCAGACCCATCAGCTGGTCTACCTCCAGACCCATCAGCTGGTCTATCACACCTGAACCAGCTGAACCTCGTGACCAGACCCCAGAACGTTGCTCTCAGCTGTTTCCGCCTCGTTCTTTCTGCAGAACATTTTAGAATCAGCAGAAAGAAACTTGCTCAGTCGGTGTTTTAAGGAGACGTCTGGTTTCCTGACGTACGCTCGTATTTCTGGACATGAACGGCTGAAGCAGCGCCGAGGCTTCAACACCTGATGTTTCTGCTGCGACCATCAAAACGCCTGCATCAGCATCACTCACCTCATCCTGAGGAACAATTCATCCTGAGGAACAACTCATCCTGAGGAACAATTCATCCTGAGGAACAACTCATCCTGAGGAACAGCTCATCCTGAGGAACAACTCATCCTCAGCATTAAACCAGATAAATCTGGTCTGAGTGGAGCTGAAGTTTTTTCACTTGTACGTTTGACTTCTCTGTGTTCGGGACAGAAACCTGGAACATTTAAGGAGTTTTGTTGTGATTTATCGGCTCATTCCCACAAAGCTCAGAGGGACTCATCCAGACAATTCTGACCGACGCTGGGTCCTACACATCCCATAATGCACCTGGACCGCCTGATAAACGCCCTGAACCTTCAGACACATCAACCTCTCTGTCAGAAGTACAGAAACAGAGTCAGGATGTTAGAAAGCTCCAGAAAACTTTGGGACTTCTGCAGAAAACTAACCTTTACTTTTCCTTATGTGTGTTTCGTCCCACATCGTATTTAGATTCATCCTGAACTTTTATTGGAGCAGCAGGTTTGTTCTGGCTGGAAACAACATCAACAAGTGACTAAATATGAATCAGACACAACAACAGTAAACTCAAACTATTCCTGTGTTTTTTAAATTCCTCCTCAGAATGTCCATAATGATCAACTGTCTGACTGTGGGTTTCATTTCCAGGCAGAAGTAAGTTATTGGTAAAATAAATACCATAAGACTATAAATCCATCTTAATCCTGTTTCTGAATAACTCTGGGCTTTCCAGACGTGCCACAGCATTTTAAACGGGACGAAGATGCACTTTATCAAGCATCTGTGGCTATTTCAAGGGTATGAATAATTGTGGACATGGTATTCTCTGCAAATTAGAAAGAAGAAAAAGCTAAACTAACCTCCAGAACACCGTCTGGCTGGGCTCTGACTCCTATTTATGTCATTTCCAGGCAGAACTGAGACTGAAACTGACTGTTTGTGGCCACATTCAGCCTCATCGGGCTCATCAAGCTGCTGCTGGGTCTGAATAATCTGCTGCTACGAGCCTCTGATCCAGAGCGGAACGACTCGCCATCATCAGGACACTAAGACGAGCAGATTTTAACCAGCTGCGCTGAACGGAGAATAAATCCTTCACAGCAGAGAGGCGACCGGAGGCTTCGTCTGTCTGAGACGAACTTATACAGAAATATAGATGGTTATAATACATCATTACATACCGTGGATTAGAAATACAGATTATGACATTTCTACTGTGTTCTATAAATATATATATTATCATTATTATATACGTAGATTATCATTACATTCCTCCTGTATTACAGGTTTAATCGTCCTTCATTTGACTTCAGTGAGTTTCTGTCTGAATGTGACTGATTATTACTTCCTGTCTGAATTTATTTTTTTATAAATTTATGTATTTCTTTATGAATTTCCGTATTTATTTCTGTATTTCTTTCTTTCTTTCCAAATTTCCTTTTGAACTTTTTAAAAAAAATTTCTGAATTTCTTTCTTTATGAATTTCTGATTTTGTTTTGAAGTATTTTGTTATTTCTTTCCCAGTTTCTTTATGAATGTCTATATTTCAGATTTTCTTTATGAATTCATTTCTTTTCTTCTGAATATTTTAAAGAATGATGTTATTTCTTTATACATTTCTTCATGAATTTCTTGATTTCTGATTTCCTTCTGAATTTATTTTATTATTTCTATTTTTTTTTTATGAATTTCTCTCTTTCCCTCTGACTTGTATTTTTGCAGAATTTATTTTAGAATTTCTTACTTTTATCGTTGTTCTTTCTTCCCTTCTGTATGTTGACCTGCAGGTTCTCTCCTCATACATAGAACATTTATGGAACATTTTCTATCTGTACGAACCAGATCAGACGCTGGATCCAGACTTTACCTTCAGACCTAAACAGGGGAGCCCAAAACTCTCCCAGAACATAGAAGCTGCTCCAGCTGTGACCTTCTGAGCCACTGGTGCCTGTAGAGGCTACAGATGTGGTTCAGAGCAGGAAGCAGCTTCCACAGCTGTCAGCGG